TCAAGGTGAAAATCGCTTTTGTAACTGGGGCCAAGCAGGGTGAGGTGATGCATGCTTTTAGTCCCAGCACTTAGGAGGTAGAGGCAGGAAGATCAGGAGTTCAGTCATCCTTGGCTTCATAATGAGTTCAAGGCCAGTCTGAACAACACAAAATGAGCCCTTACACATACACACTGCCCTGCTAATCCACAGCCATTAGAGCTGACGACTCCACCAAAGGCCTCGTGGATTTCACAGAGCCTCAGGAAGCCGGGCAGTGGTGGCCCATGCCTTTAATCCCAGCACTTGGGAGGCAGAGGCAGGTGGATTTCTGAGTTCGAGGCCAGCCTGGTCTACAGAGTGAGTTCCAGGACAGCCAGGGCTAGACAGAGAAACCCTGTCATGAAAAACAAAACACATCACAGAGCCTCAGGGTGGATCCGGAGCTGGGAGAAGGAAGAGGAAGGGGATGGGGTGGGTGGAGATGGGGGGAGGAAGAGGATAACGGGGAGATAGGTGAGGGAAGACTGACAGGCAGGGGGGATAGGGAATAGGGGTGAGGACTGGTGGGGGATGGGGTGTGGGAGGAGGGAGCAGATGACAAATGGGTGGGAGAAACATGGGAGATGTTTAAGGAATAAGTAGGGGATGGGTGGGGCATGGATGAGGACTTCAGTGGGGGTGGGTGAAGGTGCATGGGGGTGGATGAAGGTGTATGGGGTGGGTGAAGGTGCATGGGGTGGGTGAGGGTGCATGGGGTGGGTGAGGGTGCCTGGGGTGGGTGAGGGTGCATGGGGTGGGTGAGGGTTGGGTGATGAGGACACAGGGCAGGGCTGGAGTGGTGGACAGACGGTCCTGTGCCCCTTTTGGCTCTTGACCATCCTGTTAAGGATCTAGGACTCACAGGCTATGAGAGGGGAAGGAGACACTGGGGGTCCTCTAGGCCCCACCACCCTCATCTCCCTCCCCCCATGCTGCAGAAAAACCTTGTTTATTTACACACACAGACACACACAGACACGCACGTGCAAGAGCAGGGTCTAATGGCTGTGACCTCCTGGCTCCTGGTTTCCAAGAATGAGACTGATCACCTGACTGCCTTCCATCTCACGAAATGCTTACGGCACAGACATCTGCTGAAATAGCCTCTGCCATTTCTCTCTACTGCTTTTTTTTTTCTTTACCTCCAGTTCCCCTCTAGGGGAACATGTGCATTCAATCTACCACGTTTAACCAGAAAAGCCCCAAGCTCTTGCTTTTCCTTTGTAAGGTCCTGTCTAGTTCCCACCTTGGATGCTGTACACATTCCTCATTCCTCTCCTTGTGTTAATCGGCAGTGTTTACTGCTTCGCCTTCACTGTTTTATGTATCGGAATGACAGGCTTTTATGGAGAGGGGAAAGAGTCCTTGTTCCTAAAACTTGTTTATAAACCACTGATGTGGAGCAGCCTGGGATAGGAGGGAGGGACTGTGTGTGTGCACACGTGTGTGTGCGTGTGTGTGCATGTGTGTGTATGTGTGTGTGCACGTGTGTGTACATGTGTGAGTGTGT